CGGTCAGTCACATGATCCCTATCCCAACAGAATACTTTTATAGAATTTTATCTTAAAAAAAGATATATTTCATATTACCTCAGGAATTCAAGATATCAGATAAATATATCTTATATATATTGAAAAGCTTATATAACCTTAAACAAACTAAATAAGATTAAAATCAATTTTTAAAATTTTAATTAATCAATTAAGGCTTTATTTAAAGTCTCGCTAATTCATATCTTTATATATATATTACTTATCAACTCAATCTACTAATATATATTAATAATATAATTGCTTTCTCAACCTCAAAAGATCAACTCAATTGGTTTTCTATAATATTTTTATTATATTTCAATACCAAGAACCTAGGAAAGATTAGTAAGATTCTAGATATTAAGGTTATAAGAGATTAAGCAAATAGATCTCTTATATTGAATCAAAAAGAATATCTAAAAGCTATATTCACAAAATTCGGAATCTTATATATTTAGTATTATACTAAAAAGATATTTACTATTGATTATTTATATTTACAATCTACTATAGAAAATAACAAACTGATTAATATTATTAAATACTAATAAGCTATAGATAATTTCATTTATTTAATAATATATACAAAACCAGATATCTCCTTTATATTAGGCTGATTATTATAGTATATAGTAAAGCCAGCGAAATATTATAAAATAAGAGTAAAGAACTTAATACAATATCTGAAAGCTATAATCACTTAGAAATTCAAATATAGGCCCAAGAAAATACAATATTAAATTGTAAAGGAATATAATCTACCAATAAATATTATAAAAGTCTTTATTAATATAAACTAAACAAATAATTGATATAATCGGAAAAGTATTTCTAAAAAAATTGCTATATTCTATAGCAAATTAATATTGTGGGTTAATAAGAAGTAGAATTCAATAGTAATATCAAGTGCTAAATCCGAATACATATCAATAGCAATATTCATCAAGCAAAGGAAATGATTAGTTCAAATACTTAAAGATTTTGAAAAGACTGAATATATATCTATATACAAAAATACTATTCAATTATTAGATAATAACTAAAGAATAATTGCTTTAATCAAAAACTCGTATTTATATAAACAATTAAAGCATATTGATATATACTATTATTTTATCAAGGATCTTACTGAAAAAGAAAAGGTAGTAATTAATTACATCAATACATCGAATATGATAACAAATAGAATAACTAAACCCTTAACGAAAATAGTATTTGAAAAATTCAAAAACATACTGGGATTAAGATAGTAAAAATACAGAAGATCAGGGAGATCAAAGGTGATAATTTCTATAAAGGAATGTTAAAAGGAATAGAAGTTACTAATACTAAGTACATATAGTGATTAATAATACAACTACCTAAATAGGTTAGATTAGACGAATTATAGATAGGCATATTAATCCCTTTATATAATACTACAGGGAGATTAATATGCTTACACGCATAACTATATAGTCTATATAGAGGCCTCTTCCACCCAATCTTCTAATAAATAGTTTATTAGAGATTTTTCGAAGATTATTAATCTGATGGTAGACCTGATTAGAAAGAATGTTCCGTTCCTGTAGAGCTCTGCCTGTCAAAAAGCGTTTGATTGATTAAAGCAAGTGTTTATTGAAGTATTTGTCCTGACTTCTTTCGATTAGAAAAAGGAAGTGATTATAAAAACCGATACCTTCGATTATGTATTTGTTGAAGTACTTTTCTAATACAATAATAATAGAGTATTTAGATCTGTTATATTCTTTTCTAAAAAACACTTGGTAATTAAATATAATTATAAGATTTACAATAAAGAATTGTTAGTTATTATTCATTACTTTGAAGAATAGCATTCTGAGTTAAAAGGTGTTATATTATTAATTCAAGTGATCACTGATTATAAGAATCTGGAATACTTTATTATAATAAAGCTATTGAATTGCCATCAAGCTTGCTAATCCGAATTTCTATTTCGATTTAATTTTCGAATCATTTATTGCCCTGGAAAGCTAAATGTCAAATCCGATATACTGATTAGGAAGTCAAAAGATCTCCTTAAGAAAGGGAATAAACGTTTCCTATACCAAAGCTATATTATTCTGAAACAAGAGAATCTAGATCCCGATCTGTTTCCCACTATTGTTACCCTAATCGAACTCAAGATTATTAAGAAAGTATATTTCACTATAATTACCTGTAACTAGAGAAACCCCAACCCTATCAATACTACCAACCACTTGGATTTTGATAATATTATAACTTTATTAGAAAATGACAAAGTTATAAAGCCTGCAATCCCATATACCATATCTATATCCAATTCTGCAATACAACTAGAAAACTCAGAAATCCCTTTAAACCTTTCTGTCAATTTGTTTACCCTATTCCACAAAGGCTATCAAACCAACCCTATATCCGAATCTATCCTGAAATCCCTACAAAAGGGATTCTCGAAATACCCGAAAATCACTCTTGCCAAGTATATCGAAAACAACAATCTGTTGTATTACTAAGGAAAACTATACATTTCCGATCACAACCCTCTGAAAACCTACCTGCTCTGTCTATACCACGAATCGCCCGCCGCTGGTCACTCGCATTATATCCGAATCTTTGAATTATTGTTCCGAAATTACTACTAATCTGGATATTACAATTATATTATATAGTGAATTCATAACTGCTATAGTTGCCACTGCACTGCCCTGAATCGCAAAGACTAGAAGGGAATTCTCTGTCCGTTTCTGATTCTGCAGAGAGTTTAGCAAAATATTTCAATAGATTTCATTACACATCTACCCGAAAATACCGATTTCGATATTATTATAATAATAATTAATTGATTAATAAAAATGAAATATTTCTTGTTTTATTATAATATCTATAATTCTGAAGAGATTGCTTATTTATTTCAAAAGAATATCTAGAAGCTTTACAACTTACCTCTAATCATTATATCTGATTGTAGAGTTTAATTCATCTCTGAATTCTGGAAATATATCTGCAAGCATTTAGGCATAGCCGCTAAGCTTTTAATTGCTTATTATTCTAAAACTAATAAATAAACCGAAAGAGCTAATACAATACTGAAACAATACCTCTAGTCGTATATAATCTACCTACAAGATAATTAGGCAGAGTGACTTTTATTTATCAAATTCTCTATCAATAATACTTAATCCAAAAGTATTCAAATAACCTTGTTCTTCTCGAATTATAGGTTTTATCTTTATCTAAACTTTAAGTCTATACTATTTCAAAGTAATCGTTCTATTATACAAAATGCTGAAGAATTTGTTATTAAAATGAAAACTATCTCTTTATATCTATAAATCGAATTAATTATTAATCAAACCTGATATTCAAAGAATACTATATTCATTATTCCCTTATCTATAAATATTTACCCAATAATCTGGTTTAACTGAATACCAGAAATATTAAGATCCTATATCTACAAAAAAAGCTTGATTAAAAGAATCTTGAATTTTTTAAGATTCTGAATTTGATAAATCTCTATATTTATAAACTAAAACTTTTGGTTTTGATAAAGATTTATCTTGTTTTTTATATTAACTTGCTATATCCTATATATAATAATTCTATTCCTAAATAGTATAATCTGTTACCACTTTTTATAAAAATAAATAACCTCAAGCGTTTTGAGATTACCGAAATCCTAAACTCCTATTAGAAAAGAAGAGATTATAAAGAACCTTGTTTGAAATACACCATTTATTAAATCAACTACAATACACTGACCAAGGAATCTACAAGCTACCTAGAAGATATATAAAAACTGATTTGCAATTTCTATCGAAAATACCTTAATAAACCAGAACCTGCTTGATCGAATACTACCCGCCTCTAAACAATCGAACTATGATATCTTTGTTTTAACAGAGCTTGGCTTTAGGAAGAGAATAATATTACAGTGTAAAATCACATAACATATTGATTCCCTTAGAGGGAACCGAATTGGGTGCTTACACCGAAATGTAAGTGAGCTAGAGCCCGATCGGGCTAGCTCGCTTAGCAAAATTCTGTATATCTTCAACTTGAAAGATCCTATATCATAACTCTTTGAGCTATATCTTAATCCTCAATCTGAACCTATTACCCCGAATCAGTATAACCTTGCCAGATTAGGGCAAAGTTATTAGAACCCTATCCCGCCCGCCTGCCCTGTGATATGAATATTGTTTATTATTATTAAATTATATATTTTTTAATTTATAAAAACACAGTTTTATAAATTGAATTAAAATTATAATTTATCTTTTTAAAATTTTGAAATAAATTTATTATAATATTTAAAAAATATTTTTAAATTGATTTTTTTTTATAAAAATTGTATAAAATTTTAAAACTTAATATAAAATTTAATTATCAATATTTTTCGAAATTTCAAGTTTTCGATTTATAATAATAATAATAATAAATATAAAAATCTAATTTGCAATTATATGAATTTATTTTAATATAAATTTTCAATATATTATTAATATTTTAAATTATTATTAAAAAAAATCAATTAATATTTAAATTTATATTCAAATCTTTTAAATCTTTGATGTTATTTTTTAATAAATATGAAGTCTTATTGTATAATTTTAAAATCATTATAATGATATTCAAATTTAAAATCGATTTTTAATCTAATAAATCAAAATGTGCATGATATAGGGACGTGCACGATGTAGGGATATCGGTTATCTGTCTCACGCCCTTTTTGACGTCAAAATGTGATTTCTTATAATTTACAGATTGATGCCCTGCTAAATGATTGAGAGTATATTACTTGTTATCACATGCACTCATGCTGTAGACTTCGTGGAGACATGTAAATGGTTGAAACAGCTGATACTTACGTTTATAGATTTTGACATTACCAACTTAATCGCTGCTGCTAACTCATAGAATTATTCCTGCTAATCGCTGAAATTGTATAAGCCTGAATATACAAAGTTATGATCACAGTCCTACCACCTGTCTTATCGTATTGACGCCTTTTGCTTTGCCGCCTGTTTCTTTTCTGCTTCTGCCTTCGCTGCCGCTTCTTTCGCTGCCTCTTTTATCTCAAAATCTTCTAGTTTCGTCTCGGTTTGCCCCCCAAAATCATCGAACCTCTGAAACTCTTCCCAAGTGGTCTCAAATCGGACTTGATATGCAGCTCGAACTACCTTTCTTATTTCCCACATGAAATCATCTTGGTTATACAAGACGGTCTGCACGAACAGTAGTGCTAGTATTTGTTTTGAATTCAGAACATTGGAGTCGGGAAAGTCGCCCAATATCATCAAATACACAAATTTGAAGGCAGCAGTGCCAGCTCTTGCCCTGTGGAGCATTCTGTCATCTTGGGAAGTCTCTGGGTCCGTATACAATAAAATTGAATTCCATAGTCCCAGTAGAGACTCGGGGCTTGAAGACAAATTCTTGGCTGATATAACATCAAGCGCTTGGCAGAGTTTGTAATAATGTGAAAGCTCAGGAGGAAGCATATTGAAGCAGAAATAATATCCATTTATGACTCCTTGGGCAGCTATGAATAAGTAGGGAACGGATTGATCTGGTTCGTATTCGCTCTCATAGCCAGGCTGAGTATAACTTGCATTATCTCTCGGCACCAAATTGATATACGCCCCCAGCCAAGGTACCCTGGATAATTCGACCACAAAGCGGTGACTCCCAAATGATATAGTATATTTTCCCGGAGGACCTGACGCATCGATAGGAGCGACTGTTGCTTTCGGTGAAGGTGTAATCTATACCTCTTTGTATCAAACTCGGTGTAAACAGTGGCTTGTGGAACTCCTCACCTTATTTGTAGACATACTGATTTAGGAATTGCTATATAATATATCGGTATATATTGTTTATTTGATAAGTGTGTGGAAGACCTTTTGACACCAGAGCACATGCCTTTATTTGAGATTAACTGAGGTCTTGTGGTGGCTCCTTCCCAGTACCAGGTATGCATTGAAAGAAGAGATCGGGAATGTGTGACTGAGCTCTGCATCAGCAAAAGGTATCCTGTTGTACCCAAGTTGTTTGTTAAAATCAATGTCGCCAGGCATTTTGCTCATTCACAGCTAGAGTACACATCGAAGTTTAATGTAAGAAAGATTCTTGATCATGATCTTATAACCTACTCCAGAAACCAAAAAAAACGGTAGATGTTATCTGTCCATGAGGTTTTCATCAATTGATTCACCACATTTCCTTTGCGCAATGTGACTCATCTTGAAAGATATTTGCATACTGATGGATGAAAGAAGCTTGTATTGGTGTCATAATTGAAATTCTCGTAAAAGTCATTGAAAATTACGAATCCCAAACAGCTGATTATGATAGGAACAAGAGTGAACAATAGATGACTGGGTCTTGCTTGCAAATATAGAGTTTATTCATTCCTTATTCTCGCTGAGGGAGAAAGAATTGCCAGGCTTACTCAAGCGGAATTCAATGGAACCAAGCATTGCTAGAAACTGCTAAGATGTATACAGACCATGCAATTTTCCCTCTCAATTGAACGACGCTGCGTTGAGTCATCGTTGTAGAAAGCTCTTTCAAACTAGGAAGGTAGGTAAGTGATTGCCTCAAGAGTGCATATCAAATTAAAACTCACCTCTCTGTGATTCGGTGAATTTTGACATGTTTCCAAATCTCGCAAACCACTGCAGGAAGCTATGAGCTCACTCCAATCAAAGTGCGCCTGTTACATACTCTCGAGATACTATGACAATTATTAGGATTGATGATCAACATTGGACAGTCCAGTGAGGTAATTCTTTTACATCTCAGATTTTGGATCAGTCAATCAGATAACAGCGATAGCGACGTTGATGCATCTTAAATAGGTTAGTTCCTGGGCACGGGGCCACTAAGAGTTACCCCTCACTTAGCGCATGATTGTCGGACTACTTATTCTCTGTGTGATTCCGAACATAATCTTCTCCCTTCTCACCATCTTCCAGAAAGCTCATCCTTTACATATCAGAAACAAACAAACATTCGTGTCAGTCATCTTGCACTCAGTTAGAGGGAAACACTGACATCGTCCACTCATCCTAGCAAACGACAACTCGTACCAAGTACAACTCACTTCCAACAGTTGGAAGCCATGTAATCCTTAGCATGGATATTATCCGCTCTGCGGATCAAGGTATCGCATCAATTGTATAAGTCACTCTCGCATGAACCGGTGTTCGATCCTGCAAGTCGTCAGCCTGCCTCTCATTTACCACCTTACACAGTAAGATGATATGAGAGTGCCGTTGATGAGGGGTCGTTCTGAGATTATACGGTTATATGAACTTGATCTGGATAATACCAGCGAAAGGATCATGCTCTTCCATTCCGTCCTCATGGACGTCACTAATCTCTCGCAGGTAATAACTTGAAAAATATCGAAAATGGCACCACCATCAGCATTGTTCGCCGAGGAAACATCTCCCATCGATGGAGTTCAATTGAAATCAGCCTTCGACGTTAAAGTCGAATCTTCGCAGGCAGCCACTCAAGGCAAGACACTTGCTGACCTTGCCGAGAAATGGGACCAAGGATTTACATTTGCTCCTATTCGCGAATCTCAAGTCTCGCGTGCCATGACCCGCCGCTACTTCAATGATCTCGATACATATGCAGAGTCTGATATCGTCATCGTTGGTGCTGGTTCATGTGGTCTCAGTACTGCCTACATGCTAGGCAAGGCTCGTCCTGATCTCAAGATTGCCGTCATTGAGGCTTCTGTTTCTCCAGGTGGAGGAGCATGGTTGGGTGGACAACTCTTCAGTGCTATGGTCATGCGAAAGCCTGCTGATGCCTTCTTGACTGACGTTGGTGTTCCATTTGAAGATGAGGGAGACTTTGTTGTGGTCAAGCATGCTGTATGTTTCAAAAACTTTCTTTATCCATGCCCTTCTAGATGTTCTTCGTTTAACATGTCCCATGGTACTAACGATAGCTGTCAACAGGCTTTATTCACTTCAACTCTCTTATCCAAGGTTCTTGCATTCCCCAACATCAAACTGTTCAATGCGACCGCCGTTGAGGATCTGATTACACGTCAAACTACCGACGGCAACATCAGAGTCGCAGGAGTGGTGACAAATTGGACACTTGTCACAATGCATCATGATGACCAGAGTTGCATGGATCCAAACACAATCAATGCTCCTGTTGTCATCTCTACCACTGGGCATGATGGTCCATTTGGCGCGTTCTGTGTCAAGCGTTTGGTTTCAATGAATCAGATCAAGGAACTCGGTGGTATGAGAGGACTTGATATGAATGTAAGGTTTTGAGGCTTCCTCATTAATGGACATACACTAACTTCAATGTTTCAGGTCGCTGAAGACGCTATTGTCAAAAGAACTAGGGAAATTGTTCCAGGTTTGATTGTCGGAGGCATGGAATTGTCAGAGGTCGATGGTGCAAACCGCATGGTAAGAACTTGACCTTCTACCAAACCAATATCACAAATTCTGACCAGCTTGTTACTACAGGGTCCCACCTTTGGTGCCATGGCACTTTCTGGCGTGAAAGCCGCTGAGGAAGCTTTGAGAATCTTCGATGAACGCAAGGCACAAAATGCCTACTAGGCGTAATCATTGTGCATGTCAAGGAGCAGCACTTGTCTAGGTCAATACACGAGGACTATCAGGGTTCATGAAATGAATGCAATAGCAATAAGAACATGATATTTGCTTTGAAATCTTCGAATTATTTGTCAAAAGTGTGCTTGCAACATGATTTTTTAAGTTTAGGTTTTGTGGTCTCAAAGTTGTCTATCGGATATTTAGTGTCCCGAATAACCTCCGAAACCAACGTCAGATTATAGATGAGGCCATTTTTCTTCCTCGCTGTCTACGCAGTAAAACTCCTTATCATCTTCTAGGGTTCTCAATATTTAAATGTAATCTTGACTATAAAATGGGCTTAGAGATCTTTACTCCAATATCCACTTGACCAAAATTCTGCAATAAACTTTCGGTCCCGAGAAATATGCTTGTTTTAAGTTTAGTCCACTAATTCCCCTAGCCACATACTAGGATCTTAATCCATTTCTCCCCTTCCTCATCCAATTGTAGGACTGTTTGGAATTTCACACGGATATTGACATCCTTATTCAGGATTAAAAGGGCAAATACCGATGCGACAACCCCGCAATCGAGTAATTGAGGGTGTCGTTGCGACGGTAATTTCTTGGCACTGCCGGGCGGAATCAAGACATGCTTTCGCCAACGGTGAAGAACTCTGATTTAGGTAGCTGAGGACGGATACCCTTGATATTTGAAAGACGCGTACGTGTTCTACACACGGACGATGCTGGACGGTTCGGGTGAAGATTCAATGACTGGGATGAAGATCTACATGTACAAATGAGCTGATCTTTTCCTCGCGTCAGTTCCTTATTTATTTCTTTGACATTGCTTTGAACTAGATTCATCTTCGTCTTCTCTCAAATCCTGATTTGCCTTTCAGTAAATTACGAAAATCATCATGTATTTCTCACCTCGAAATCTTCTAGTTTCCACCTCTCTCCTCTCCTCCGCCTTTTCAGCCACCATCCGCCATGCTCCCCGCTCAGATCTCTCTTCCCGTGTGATCCACCAGTTTCCTAATCCTACCTGGCTCGAAAATATTGTGATAACTTCCAGTGATAAAATACTCGTCACTGATATCACAAATCCCTATCTCTACTATATCGACCCTACTATTTCATCATCCGCACCAGATTCAAATGACACTGCCACACTCATTCATTCTTTCACACCTGAATTATCTCTCCTAGGCATCACCGAAGTCGCACCCTCCCATTTCTACCTCATCACAAGAAACTTCACACTCTCCTCAATAGCCAGCACTCTCACAGGTGTCAACACTATCTACTCTGTTGATCTCACATCCTATGTCCCCTCCACCAATAGCGGTGCCTCTGTCTCAAAAGTGGCAGTTATATCCGGCGCCGGATCTCTCAATGGACTCACCACCCTTTCCGAATCACAAAATTTGATCATCGCAGCTGATCCCATCCTCGGAGTTATCTGGTCCATCAACGTTCTCACTTCCGAGTACTCTATTCTTCTCGACCTCGCAGAGTTGAAACCACCCGTTTCCACTTCTTTGGCATTCGGTGTTAATGGTCTTAAAGTTTTGACCCCTACCACTGGTGATACTGATCAAGTGTATATCTATTACACAAACACGGGACTTACAACCTTTGGGCGAATTCCGTTCTCGCTTCGTACTTTGAACGTCACAGGACCAGTGAAGATCCTTACCGATGCTTATGGGGCTGATGATTTCGCGTTGGATTCCAAGCAGGGAGTTGCTTATTTGGCTTATGGAACTGGAGCCAGTGTGTTGAAGATTGGTCTTGAGGGTGGTGATGTGAGTGTGGTTATTGGTGGAGTGAATGATACGTTGGCTGGAAATGCGAACGAGACGGTTTTGTCTGGTCCAACAAGTGTTCAATTGGGCAGAGCTGGTGATGGATTGGGATGGGCGTATGTTAGTCAGAGTGGAAAGAATGAGGGTGTTTATACAGAGGGTGGAAAGGTTCTCGCGATTGACATTACTGGCTCTTCTTAGATGTTAGGATTGGTTGCTGGTAAGACTTCGAGATGGATTTTGATTGTGTGATAATGAGAACGAGAACAAGAAATAGAAACGAATAATGTACTTTAGCTCATCGACCTGCACTTACTTTCAAGTGTGTTTAACGGAAAAGAAATCTGCAAGTGTATGTATTTTGGAAAAAGAAAGAATATTTCCTTTCTGTATTTGTTATCATTGCAAATAAGATCACGAAAAATGGTCAAGTCTATGGCAGTGAATGGAGGCTAGTAATAATCTCTCGATGAGATGAAGGTAATCTTCTTTCATCTTTTATATTATTCGAATATATGAGCGTTATTCTAGTGAATTTCAAGCCTCGGTACCCCGCACAATCGAAATCTAACACAGAAGCTGCTCTAGAAAGGCAAGGCCTAGTTTCCAGTTCTTTCAGTTGCCATACTTCTTTTATTCAACCTCCCATATTCAACAACAATCTTCCACGCTCACGCTTTACCAACATAACTTCTTCAATTAAATTCTCTGGTGTTGTCTTTTCGGCAGACAAACACTTACACCACGATGTCCTCCGCCGCAGATGCATCGTCTTTCCCTCAGTTTCGTCGATTTCCCAAAGAAATACGTCTTTCCATCTGGGAACACACAATTCCTGAGCCGCGCATCGTTCACATTGTTCAAGATGCAGCTACACGAGCAATGAAATCATACACTTCGATCCCTACAATTCTCCACATCAATCATGAATCGTTCTCTGTCGCTTCAAAACAATATCACCGTGCGTTTCGTTGCTGCAAGCCTGGACAGGACAAACCAGATAAGGATGTATCTTATGTGTGGTTCGATTTTGAACGAGACTTTCTACTGATTGATTACACGATGGCTGGCGAACTTTGGCCCTCGTCAGAGGATTGGTCTGCTACTAGTACGAATCCTCTTCGTTACACTTCAGTAAGATGGTTCCCGGATGAAGAGGTGAAGCGCATCAGAAATCTGGCTTGGTATACGAATCCATCTTAGGTTGCTGAGGATGAACATATCTGGAGACTTTTTACTGGATTGAGACAATGGTTTCTGGTCCAAGAACTCATGGGTTGTGGAAATGTTTTAGAGCCACGCAGCGTCCACAACTCAAAACCTTCCATTCGTAAGATTGAACAGTATCATCTTGCACCTTCATATGACTTATCGTTCTGGGATGTAAGTGGCGAGGAAGATGTCAATTTTGAGCTATGTATGAGGTTATTCGACATAGCCAAGAAGGCGCCTCAACCTACGTTAGAACCTCGAGAACTTCTTCGTTATCCGAGTACTACCTCGAGGCGCATAAGACAGGCATTGGAATTTTCCATAAATGTATCATCCTCACCCTATAAAAAGTCAAAAGTTCCTTGACTGACACATAACAAACAGCGTTCGCATCTCAATAATACACCTCTACCCGAGATTACACAAAAAGTCATGCTCAGCCCCAGCTTAAAAAATAAGTTCATGGAGGAAAAACTACGCTATGAGGCACACATCTTGGAGAACACCCAGAATCACGAGGAACACAAGGCTGAAAATTGTAATTGCCACACGACAGGTAAATACTGGCGCAGCGAAATGAAAACTATGGCACGCCATCTCGATACACCTCGGCCGCTGACGCGAGGTAATACAAGAAGTCGAGTTATCAAGTCAAGAGGTCGGAATTAAGCAAACATCTCGTTTTTCCATTGCCATGAACTACCACGTGGTCGCAGGCAATCTAATCGCAAATGCCGAAAAGAATTTGTCCCAATGTTGCAGATCAGAGTTTCCGGGAAGTTGTGCTACGGAAGATATCTCCATGTTGGCTATCTCTGCAGGCAGAGCGGGAGGGCAAGCATGTTTGGAGTTTTTGACCGGATGATCAACAGGTTTAGGATATCGGTATGGAAGAATTTTTGAGACATTTAGTGATATGATTCAAGATTTTACTACAAAATTTGATCGTTGGCTGCATGACAGTGAGGTTCAATTGCAGAGCACACTCCTTTTTGTTGAACCCGCAAAGCAGTCAGCATTGATGGTAACGACAAGTCATTGCTTTATGTACAATAGCATTAAATACTTGAAATTCTCATAACCAGCTTTATCAATATCTCCTGGGTTTATAACAGTCTGCTATGTAGTTCCACAACAAATTCAGCGTGCAAAATACTTAATCTGCCTCTCATGTTTTTTGCCAACAATATAACTTAAGTGGAATGAAATGCGCGATCTCATTCTGATTAATCCCCGGATTTTACTCGCCATTACTGATAAAATGTGACGCCTCAATAATGCTCTGTGTATTCCTCATTATCTACGTCTCTCACCACGTGGGTCTCGATCTTAGCCTCTGGACAGATTCAGTTAAAAAGCTTAGCTCCGACGACTTCGATGTCTACCAAATTTCATAGCTTGTGAAAAGAATATGGGGAGAGAATGCTTCCTATGATTTCGAGGACTATATTGGGTGATACACATTGTACCAAAGACAAAGAGGCGTCATATTCATGATCATGGAGGCAAAATCTCATTCAGTAGTCAAGAGACATTAAATTCTGTTACCATTACTGTGCTATGATTGGTATCAGAGCAAGCATATCAAGCCTTCGGGACTGAGCATCTAACTTGCGGCTATTCAATATTGGCTTGGAAGCCTTTATCAGTTTGGAAGTCTCGAAACCCGACAAACTTCGCGTCTATTAGAAGGGATAAAATACTGTCTTACACATCTTCGACATCCTCAGGAATTAAATTTTGCTACTCCTTGAGCATATAGATACTCAGATTTTGGAGCATTTTTAGCAAGACTTTCGCGATAGGGTTTGTAATAGTGGGTCATTCGCTAAAATAACATGAGAGTGAAGGTATGCCAGACCCACTTATTACTGTGAACATTCTATTACGTGGTAAAAAAGAAGTGGATAGCTTCGATGATACTACCTAACTTTCCAACAAAACGGCTGGTGTTCTTGAGCTGTTTTTTTTAACAACATATTTTCGGCCAAATCAGTTCTCCCTCGATGCACAGAGCTTAGACGATGACTATGCAGAATTTTGTTTATGAGAATCCACAATTCTGTCAAATTAATGGGAATTTGATTTTAACACCGAATGGAGAAGAGACTGGTTTGTTTTACTTCAAGAAGATAATAGGAACCTTTATCTGATAGTAACTATGATCAGAAACATGAGAATATGATAGGACGGTAGGAGACAAACCTTGCATTTGGTAGCAATAACGCATGTTACAAATCCCAAAGAACGGGAATGCTTTTCCAAAGCGTTCCACACGACTCTTCACACGATTGTTTTGACAAACGGTTTTCCTTGCTAAGTATTTGCGTGGTTGAAATGCACAGATTTAATCCCTTTGAAGTCAAGTTGATAACTGATGAAAATCCTGGTAACATCTTGGTATGTGTCACATTAGAGTGAGTGAAAACTGTAAATATTCTAAAGCTTGCAGGAAAATCAAAGTGCCGAATCAGGAGGTCTTCTGTGGAAGCTTCTCGTATTCCTTAATGGTTGGTACTAGATCAATTTATATAGTCAGATGGCCTATGAATCTTATTTTAGTATCAGACAAGACCTTTGACTGTGAAAGTATTCCGCTCTCTCCTTTCAGTGTATGAAAGAGGATATTGAAAAGAGATGAAGGAAAAAGAGATGAAGAAAGGAAAAGAGGAATGGTACAAAACATCGTATGTAACACATTTCCACAGGTCATATGTAGTGAGTAGAAACATAACTTGGATATTCGACGGTACCATCAACTATGGTACCTCAACATAATCTGCCAGCGGACGCTCCCAAGATAATATTTGTAAACGTGACTGACTGCAATGGAGTGCATTCTGTCATGTGTTATGTTTGTTGCAAATTTGTTAGGGCCCACCATTATCAATTCACTTTTCGGCAAACATGTTTGCTGGATATAATATTAAATCGGCTCGCGTAGAGTATCGAACACTCACAGGCTGCTGGCTCAATGGTAGAGCACACGCTTCGCATTTTCAACAAATGTTTAGCAAAGGCTGGTGTAGTGGGTAATACTTGAACATCTTGGGAACCGAAATCACCCCCTGGGGAGCCTGAAACACACCAATTTGCTAGAGGATGCGTTACCCGGTTGAAGAGGCAGTCTTCATCGATCATTATTCATATTACGTTGACCCAGTTGGGCGGAGTGTATCTGTATCAGTGCATGACCGTAAAGTGGAGGAGAGATTGGTGCGTGGGTCTCCCGCCTTTCACTCTGTTGAAGCTTGGATTGGACGTAGAATAATAGACACCTGTCTTTGGGAATCACGAGTCGTTCCAAGCTTTAAGCAGATTCGCCCCAGGTAAAAAGTGTTCCACTTTCCTAACCAACTGTAACAGTTGAGTTAGGCCTTGAGCCAGGAAAAAAGCCTTCGGGCTAGGGTGGTCGCTGGTCAAATATATCCAAAACGGCAGCGGTGCAAAGATCGAGTAACAAGCATCTCTATAGAGCGCGCTACTCCCTCAAGTGAATTTTTGCCTCTTGTGTTCTTACTTGTTCAGTTGGTGATATTATTACTGGCGGGTCTTCTCGTGTCTTTTCAAATAATACTGTTAATAATTTATTCTTGGTCATTGTCATCGTACATTGTTTTTGCGACTTGGTCGCGGATTTGCGACGAAGTGAGTGAATCATCACATGATTAATATCGAGTCCTGTTTCACTGATAGTATCATAAGACTTTGGATACTGTAGCTTTGTTTTCCTCTCAAGGCCACCTCGCTTTCTATACACATCAAAAATATAGCGAAATCGGATAATCACAAATGACTTTCCTGAATGGCTATGGAACGAGAAGCTCAAAATATGAATTTAACACCGAGCAATCTTGCGACATGGAGACAACGTAACGGGAGACAAAATACTGAGTTGGAATGAAGATAGCTAACTTTCAGCCAGCCAAGAAGTATACTAAGGCATTCTACTTAGAGGACATAGACCTCGCATTCATTTTGAATATCAATCTCGTTTCAACATACTACTGCAGTCCAATATCTTTATTGTACTTTCCAGTTCCCCTCTATCGCGCCTACCTGTAAGCTCCAACATATCATGACTTCGGAAGTATGATGGGCTTGATATTTACATTTTATAGAAGTATGACGTATGACGTATGCAGTGCTGTAATTAGTATAACGTGGTTTATCATCGAGTGGCCCACTTTCACCTCAATTTATACTTTCAACTTATATTATTTAATAACAATTTGAATCAATTGATTGAAACTATTAAGATCTAATAATCTAGGATCTATTATATTATTTTGATAGGTTCTTGTATTATATTCTAGTTTTCTGTATTTACTATAATATTGATTAAAAAATACTTTCTTATTAAAATTCCCTTCTTTTTGATATTTATTGTATTGAATCTGAATATTAATTTCTTATTAAGATAATATATTAAGAGCCTTTTATTCAATAAGTATTCCTTTTTGATATAATTGGGTTTTTTTTGTATATCAATATTTGCTTAATATTTTATTTGCTTTTCAAAGTATATGAATCTTTATATTCAAAAGTATATTTTTATAAACTAATTTCTTTATATCTTTAGCTAAAACTAATACAATCTTGAATATAAGTATAGGGGAGCTTAATTGATAACAAATTATTTAAGATTTAATTAATATTGATTGTGACGGACCTAAAGCTCTCTTCTTTACCACTAGGCCACACAACCCTAAAAGGGATAATTTAAGATCGAAAGATCTTAAAGAAGAGAGTCTATATACTAGATAATGTGACTCGTCACATTGATTGAAAAAAGCTTCAATTAAATTGTAAAGGATTTAAGAGATTTATTGATTTAGATTGAAAAAGAAAGAAGTAAGTATATAAATTTAAATATCGAATTTCGAAAATATAGTTTTAGAATTAAATAGAATTAGATTTGTTTTTCGAAATTCTGATTTCATATTCTAAGAAGTGATTGATTCTTTATATATAGCTTTAAAAGCTATAAAGAATTCAATCTTCGAAATATAATTAATATATATCTTGATAAATCTATTAATTCGAGTATTATATAAATATTTCAGATTGCTAAAACAGTTCATATCAAATAATTGAGTTAAATAATTTGAATATAATAATAAATATAAATATATAATATCATTCTCTTTATAATATACTTGAAAAACTACTAACTCATAACTTTCATATTCATTCAATATTGTCACGGGGTGACACTAAGCCCTTTCTGTCCTGTCCTGTCCTGCTATATATGTGAGAGTAAGGTAGAACTTCCAGTTCTACCTCCTAGTCTTTTGGGCGTTTAGCTCAGCGGTAAAGCTTCTGAATACTCCCAGAGGTGATCCTGTGACATGATCGCTCCTTGACAAGTAGTATATTAGTCGTATATTAATCTGATATTAAAGAGTAGTAGAGGTGAATAAAAAATAAAAGATTTTTTTGAAGATTTATTAAATAATCTTTTGAAAATATCAAAAAGCTATATTGGAAATTGTTGGAAAAATGTATAAGGATTTTAAGAGTATTTGTTATTTTAAAACTATTAATGAAATTTTGAAAGAAAATTTTAATGAAAACCTTTAAGTTTTTGATTCAACTTTTTTTGAATTATTTGAAAAACATTTCAGTTATATTTTATTTGTCAAATAATTATCTATTTTTCGTATATTTTTGTTAAATTTACTTAATAAATAATTTTCAAAAAGTGATTCGAACGCACTCTTAGATTTAGAACTAGAATTAGAATTGAGATTAAGATTTGAGATTTATTTTAAAAATAATATACAATTAATAAATGAGATGATATATACAAAATTTATTAGATGAGAATATAAATTAGTTAACATCAAGAATCTAATTATCATTATCTGATATTGTTTTAAGAAAAAATATCCGCATGATATACTATATATAATACTGAATATGTAATATAATAATGAGAATAACTAATATTATTTTAAGATGACTGAATTCAAGACTGCTAGGGTGGGAACTCTACTCTAATGTCTAATAGGATGAGAATTACTCATATCGTTAAGACGAGAGGAGTAGAATTATAAATGATTTCATTAGAGGATGTCATTAACATCAAACATATACTTACAATAATGACTCTCGTAGTCAATAATGTTTACAACATCCTATAGAATGTTACAGGGTGAAAGTCAACATGCTTATCAAACCATCACGTTTGTAAAAAAAATATAGATATAATAAATATCATATACTTATGTAATTCGTCATCATGCTAACCTTAGTTCAAGCTAGTATAATCATCTAATATAATTCATTGAAAACAATCTTTAGTATATCTTATAAATATAACGATATAAATTCGAACTTATATAATTATTTAGAAGTTAGTAATTGATATTTAAGCCTTTTTAAAGCTCTAAATCATCTTATTAAAAAGAGATTAGAGAGATATAAAGAAATTTAGCTTTTAGAAACATATTTATAGAAATGAGTTTTTGTTATAAATAATAGCTATATCACTTAATTACTTTAATAAGAGAATAGATAGGAATAGAGATAATAAACTAGATTAGTATAAGATATAAATTTAAATAATCTATCTATTATATATACTCGAATTAGACGATGTAGCTGTCTATTAAAGTAATACTTATATACTAAAGTATATCGATTAAGTTGAGATTAACTAAAATAAGAAAGTTATAGAGAAAGGGGATCTTTAAGAGATATCTTTATCTCTTATTGTGTGAACAAGGGAATTCACTTCAAAAGAATGACTTCAATACAATGGCTACTGTATCAAAGGTATTTAGGCGAATGCGAAGGAGACTAGCTCTTTCAGTAGTACCTATATAAGGCCTACTACTTCCCCTCATTAGCTAGCTCTTTAGACAGAATACAATACAGACATTTAGGGGCCTACTAATGATAGTGGGAACCACGTCTCCCGTATTCCTGATCTCATTATTGAACCAACACTTATATAATATAGATTGCTTAGTTTAAGCTAGTCTTCAACTAAAATCAATATGATTAGTAATTATTTAGATATATAACGTTCGTTTTAAGATATATATTATAAGTCTTGATGAAACTAGTTCATTTTATAGTAGAATTATAGAACTATACGATCTTATATAGCTAGATTCTCGAATATATATAATTATATTAGGTTTTAGGCCCTATTGAAATGTTATATTATTTTTTTAAAATTTTTAAAATGTCTTGTGAAGAAAATAATATAATGTAAGTTTGAATTTTTGTAATTATTGAGAATTTGAGTAATAGTATATACGATTTTTAATACTTTAAATAAGATATAGATAGAAAGGAATAATTAAAGATTAAAGAATAAATAATAAGAGATTTAATCTTATTCTATAAGATAATAGTAATAAAATATTAAGTTATTAGTCTGCTAATAGTATAATACTAATGAATTCTTTTAGATTAAGTATTATTAATTAGCTTATCTAATTAGGATTATAAAAGACTATCATCTCAAGCTTTATAAAATATAATAATCTATTAAGTATATATGAATTTATATAGATATAAGATATATCTAAAATCCTAAGTAAAGTCGCGATGAATGTCTATATTTCATTAGATCATTGAATCAATGAGAAGAAACTATTAAATGACAACCGATCGATTTTCAGCCACATGTTGTCTCATTAGGACTTCTATCTGACTAACATGAGATGAAAGATTGTAGATCACTAGAACAAACACGAACATTGAAAAGTCACATTAAATAGTTCAGACGAGTCAACTTGAAAAATTCATCGATGCTTTTATAAAGAAACCCTAATGTTTTGCGAAGTGATTTGTCACCCACAAAATGAAAAACTAATGTACAAATGAATATGAGACAATCATTTTCCCCGACCCTTTCCCTTGTTCAAACCACTACCCTCAGCCTTCTTTCCAGCCTCGTCTCCAGCCTCGTCTCCAACGCTCTCCATTTGCTGCAGCTTAGAAGGCAAGACCATTTTCAAGAGGTCTGATTTGTTCCGAAGGGGCTTATTAGCGAAATGCTTGCCACGCTTCTTTGGTCGACCAATGGGAGGTCGAGCTGGCTGCTCAGCCTCGTCACCAGAAAGTCCACCCCCACCAGCAAGAATGGTCTCACTCTCGATGTATTCTCTCAAGCCCAGTTCGTGTTCAAGGTCCCAGCAAAAGTCGTTACCAAGCCGAGTATATCTTCCCATCTCCGTAATGACCCCATTGACCTCAGACAATGAAAGCGTGTTATTGTCTCTACCTCTGCCATTGTTCAACTGGCTTCCAGCAATTTGCGAGCCGTGGCAGCTCTGGAGAAAGGCGATAGCCTTTCCAATGTCAGAAAGCGAAATGGGAGATTCAAGAGCTGTGTCTGGTAGCTTCGAATCGACCTCCTCCAGTAAAGCCAAGTCAAAATCCTCAATTGTGATCAAACGGCCCTCGTTTCTTCGAATACTGTCCAATCGTTTCATAGCAACCAGTGTGAGCGTACGTTCCAACGCGTTCCGCTGAGCCTCAACTTCGTAGACTTCCGTGAAATCGATGAGTTGAAGATCGGTGAGTCCGAGATACGAGACGAGATTCTTGAATGACATCTTCTTGGTCAGTTCGTGAAACAGCATGAGCTTCGCAGCGCTGGAAAGGGAGTCGTAAGAAGGAGGGGCCATTAATCCCTAGAGAAACATTATGATTAGCTATGAAAAGAAAGATAAAATGATCAAACTCACGGGGGGGAACCATCTCTCTTGGCTTTGGTCATCAATATCGATTCCCAAATCATCCCACTCTGGTGTGTGGTTCAAGCCAAAGTAAGGCGAATTGATGTCATAGTCATCAGCAGGTGTGCGAGCTGGCATCTGGGCAGGCTCAACTGGCTGAGCTGACGCAATAGAAGCTGCAGGTTCTTCGACATCTGGCTCTGGCGAACCTTCTAACTCAGCTCTTGACGGCAACAAAGCTCTTTGTTGTTCTCTTCAGACTTTACCAGCTCTTCTATAGACTGGAGTAGGGGTGTTAGGTGCAACACTTGGTGAGGATGAAGAAGAGTACAAAGGAGTTAGTCGTGGAGCAGTAGAGGATGCAGAAGCAACTGAAGCTGGTGTAGTAGGAGCTGGCGCTGCAGATTTGGAGGATGAAGAAGCTTCCTGATCCTCTCCATTGCGAAAACGTTCTGGAAGGGCCGCCTTCTTTCTCTGACTTTGTCGAACCATGATGATTTAATTAATTAATGAAAGAGAAAGACTGTGGATGAAAGAGAAAAGCTTTGAGTAGGTACGAGGGAAGCCAGAGGCTGGGGGTGGAGGTGGTCGAAGTTGTTGTATGGGTGAAGAAATAAAATTGTGGGAGGGGAAAGGTTGACCTCTTAAATAGCGAGCCGTTGGATTTCCATTTCCATTTACCCCGCACGCGCAATCTCTGATGTCTGCCGTATCTTCAGTAAATGTCACTTTTCATGCGATCTCGACGTCTGTGCATGGATTCACTGTATTCAATATCTGAGTAGATGACCTTGGAACTTGCCGTTTTGTTGAAAATTTTCTTCAATCACCCCAAATCGTACGTGCATGGACGTATCTAATTGGCCCAAGTGAGATATGAAGAAGTTATGAGTGAGTTCACTTTGTCGAAGACGTTAGTGAATGTCCTTGATGGTCGTACGTTTGTTGAGAGATAACGGCAGACCCATGAGCTTGTCTAATTAGCGCAGATGGGGCGGTGCATGGGCAGAATTATCATCACATTCACTTCTAGAGTTAGATGAGTAGACGGCTTGATCGTCCCATCTAATCGTGGTATCTGGCTCATGTTACCTCGGGATTACTTGAATTCACTTCTCGAAAAAATGATAAGTGGTCAGTTGAAAACTGAGCGCGAGATTTACACAGTCATTAGCACAAAGTTGTGGGTGGTACTGAGTGTGGTTAATTAGTTGTCTTGACCAAGAGCTATCTGTAAGGAAGATAACTCTTATATACACAAGAGGGCTACCAACCCACCGTACATCATTAGAGAAAGATTTATCACCTCGAACATCCAAGTAGGTACCCATAGGCGCATCGCACAGTCGGCGTGACATTAGCTATGGATAGACTGAATCAATTGAGAAACTGTCGCTTCTACTATCCATATATACTATCATTTCTTCTCAGATTATATCATAAATAATAGCATACTACGATCAATTGAAGTTACTTGGGAAGTAACATCTCTAATATGTCGTCTAATTTAAGTTAAATTCTCACGTGTCCATATTCAATTAGCCAGACTGTCGTCTAATCTTAGACCCAATGTTCAAATCTTTCTGAATGGCCTTGTCTCAATGTTACTCATATTTAATGTTTTCATCTCATCACACTTTTATGTCATTTTCTTTACATGCTAATAAATTCTATTTCAATCAATCTATCTGGCCGCCAAGCCCTTACCGAAGCAAGCACTCATCTAAGCGAAACTATCCACCTCTCCAAACTACACCCATCCAGGCTCCATTTCCCAGCCCCTAAAATTCGTCCTCACACACTCCCCTGACTCAACATTTTCCTCAATAATCTCGGTCAACGTTCTCCCTCCCTCCGCTCTCAACTTCGCTATCTCATCTCTTTTCACCTCGAGCATCCAGCGCTCGACGTAATTTCTGAGAGATGAAGTGATGTAGATTTTTGGGGGCCAGGGGTCGGTATCGAGGTGTTCTCCGTCGGGGTAGTAGAGGGGAGCTTCGACTTCGAGAGCGAAGATGATTTGCGGCCAGGTGTTGCGCCTGGTGCGGTGCTTGAGGCGGATGTTGTGGAGGATGCAGAGGGAGAGGATGAACGATTTTTCGGTAGGTGGGAAGGGAATGGGGGGTGTATGTATGATTAGTTTTGTGGGTTGGATTGGGATTGGGGTTTGGTGTGTCTACTTACTTTTGTCTTTGGAATAGTTCGGATGGGAATGTCTGAAGAGTAAAAGTAGGTATAGATAATAGATGGAAAAAAGAACGTCGAAACATGCTTTATCCCGTTGCTGTATTTGCATGACGATAAGAGTTTTGTTTGGATGCAATTTTCTTGGCTTGGTGGATAGTCAGTCTTGATCGCTTGCTTCAGGAGGGTGCTTCCACACACTAATGCTCAGACTAATCAGTGAACATTTGCATATCAATAATTGAACAATGCTCACACCCATAATGAGAGCACAATAGCCGATTGTTAATATCTAAACATTCTTTGTGTAAAAATGCTTTATCTAATAATTTCTGAAAGAAAAGCGAATTGGATCAAAGAGAGATTGTCTGAGGAAAAGTTACTGAACAATCCACGTGCTCACACATAAAATGGAGAGAAAATATCACATTAATTTATCTCAGCATTTCAAACTATCTACTCAATCTACACACTTCTCACTACAACCAATCAGCCTAGTTAGAAACCCCGAGTATTTATACCCAAGCTTTTTCAACACTCCAAAAACCACCATCATGGTATCTAATAGTCCTCGCTGGATTCGCCAAGAGCTCGAGTTCCTCAAAACCCTCTATCAAGCACAGTCTTCTCAGAGATTAACCGGTCGCACGCTCTACCAAATGTATTTGACCAAACAAGCACGACATTTACCCGGCGGCGATCTCCATCCTTCGGAGCCCTGGCCCCCGAGACCGATCTCATATAAAATATTTCTTTCCAAGTATCGCCAATGCTATAGAAGAGTGCATGAGATGGCTGAGGCGGCCGCGATACGTCAGGCTCGAATTTCGGAAATCCAGGCCCAGATACAAGGGCAGACGCCCGTCCAGGCTCCGAAGGGACAAGAGCAAGTGCCCGTCCAAGCTCCACAGGGACAAGAGCAAGTGCCAGTCCAAGCTCCACCAAGACCACAGCAAGTGCCAGTCCAAGCTCCAATGCCAAGACCCGTCCACCAAGCCCCAAGACCCTCACTTCCTCCAGGCGCCATCCGCATCCCCGGAAACAGCATCCGCATTCCCGGCAGCAACACCCGTTTCCCACACCACACTTACCTCCTCCCGGGCCACCGCATTCTTCTCCCCAACGGGCTGATCATGACCAGATCCCCCTCAGCCACTCTACCCAGCATGCAAAGTCCCGAGTCTCAAGCTCTCCAACGCGCCGCCGCCCTCTTCCTCGCTCGCGCCCATCTGCAACCTCCGCGAAGACACACCAATTTGCAACTTCTACTTCCGCGCATCCGTCAAGTTCTCGGAAGGGAGTTGCAGGGAAGAGCGCATTTAAATGCGACTGCAATCGCTCGTGCTTCTGCCGCTCACTTTCCCCAATATAGACAACGATCTGCTGCTCCTGGGCCTTCGGTTCCTTTGCGCACTGCTGCGATTTCCCATCGCGCGGCAGTACAAGTTTCCCGGCAAAGACAACGATCTGCAGCTCCTGAGCCCTCGTCCCGACTCTCCGCCCGTGGATCCCGCGAGCAACCTATCAGTCTCATCGACGATGAAGATTCCTCATCCACTGCGGAAAAAATGCCCGATTCCAAATCCGGTTCTCGAGATCAAACTCCACTCTTTGCTCGCGCGTTCCGAGCCCTCACGGTCGGGGATGAGAAGTCCTCGCCCACTTCCGTCGTGCGACTCGCAAATGGGAGACATCCTCTTCCTTCTTCTCATATTGTTTCGGCTGGTCCGATGGCTTTGGGGAGGATCTTGAATTGAAATGTCTTTTGATTCTGCTGGTGAGTTTGGATGATGATGATGATGATGATCAGGCTGGTTCTGATCTCGTCTTGCGATTTCTTTATTGTCTTTGTTTTGCAGTTCTGTAACCTATATAAATTGATAATTTTCTCTGCTTAAAAAATGTGTGCTCTTTGTGATATGTGTAAATGTATGTGAGATTGGCTTTAATATGTGAGATGAAAATTTTATAGATAGTAGGATTGGTGAAGCGATTTGCTGCATAAGCTACTTGCTCTAGATGCATTCAAGTCTTTGTATGCCTTGAGATAATGTGCTAATCATTAGGTCGTCTAAAGATAGACAAAGAATTAACCTTGATATCTGGAGCTCAGTCTTTGTTTTCCATATCTTGTTATTTCTCTTCTGATTGTTTCTCTTGTTGACAAGAGGATTGCTTGCAAAAATTACGGATGCAAGTGAATCTCATCTACTACGGATGGTATGTAGTCGAGTCCCGGGAGGATATACTCAGGGTACGCTCAAGTATTCTTCGGGATATTTGATGAATATCTACTTTGCTATGATAATTATCACCTGGGCAGCCTTTGACAATTTGGCCGACTGGTTCCAAGTTCTTGAACAAACTAGTATCTCTTTCAATTTAACTCAGTGAATATTTTAGTCAGTTCTGGAATGAACATGATGATTATATATATTCAGAAATAAGTTTAATATGATATTTATATACATGCTGCGAAAGTTTTACTCCCGATATAAAAGTAATAATAAGACAGTACAGCTTTAATTTATATATATAAATCATTAATTTCAATAATGATCTGATTCTCAACACGAGAAATCGCTATTTTTAACGCGATTTGCTTCTCGAATATGAATCCACAAGACAGTATTCGACGAGAAGATGGGGCAAAGTACATACTTGGAGAGATTAAAACTGTTAGATAAGGTATGAGTGCTCATTACTACATCCACTTGAGAGTGATTTGCTAAGATTATGACAAATTACTGACACAACTCAATATATAAACCAATAAACATAGAAATTAAAGATTCCCTTCATATTTCCATATATCAAGCATCGAGAATGAGTCTTTGAAATCAACAGCAAGACCCAGTCACTCAGATGAGTCAAGCAGACACATCCTTAAATAACATATGAGTATAACAAACATATAGCCCCAGTAACAAAGTCCAGGATGCAGAGTATATATACCAAGAAAATCCCCTCTAACACCATATATAATCCCCATCTCAAAAGCTAACAACCATGAACGACCCACCCACCGAAGCACAGCATGTCGAAACCCAAATCTCCCGCATCTTCAACCCACGCTTAAGAGGGATATGTTCCTTCACCATCGTCGACAGCTTTAATATCTGTCCTCTCGCTACTTGTACTCTTCTCCGAAATTGTCCTAGCATGTGTCGTCTCCCGATGCGAGATTATGGAGAGGACGATTGCATGGAAGATTGGTGTAGATTTCAACATGTGCAACTTACGTGTGGGGATGCGATGGTGGGGGAGTGTAATGGGCTGGATTATAAGGTGCATCAAAATGATGGGGATTGGAGTGATAGGGTGGCATTGTGGGGGTTTATGGAGGGAATTTGTTGGGGGATGTTGGGTCGAGGTTGTTTGGGAGGAGGTGTGAGGAGGAGAGGGATTGGATGGGAGGGTTGGGTTGGTGATGTGTGGGAGGAGGAAGGTTATGGGTAGTAGAGCTAGGGGGGTCGAGTTTGTTTGGAGGTAAGGTTTGGGATGCTGTGAGGGGTGTTTGTATGTCTTGACTCTCAATGAATTTCAATAGAAGAAAGCACAGTTGCTGTGAATCAAAAAGCATACTCTGCAAAACCAGAACACATTATTCCAAGAGAAGCATCATACACGAAGAAAGTGAACCACTCAGTAAACCACTTATCCCGGCGTATTCGACCAAATATCAAAACTTTTAACAATCAAGAGTAGCCATTCTCCCTATTCAAAATAAACATTTCAAACTCACGTGGGAAAGTTCGGCACGCGTCAATGTCATTGATAGGGGTCCGAACTCTAATATGCAGCCAATAACTGCCAAGTATTGGGCATTAATAATTCTTCGAGCTGAATCTCGATCTCAACCTCAAGCTTCATTTTGTAGATGCGTAGAACTACTTGGTTCTTAGCAAAGTTTTTGAGGATACTCTCCTGACGATACTATGTACGACCTTGGGTACACAGTTGATATCATCAAATGTCGAGATTTGTTTGGATTCATACTGCTGTTCTGCCATCGCATCGCCATGATACTCGAGTATGATAGTAACATAAGAGAAGTAGCTGGTTTTAAAGTCTTCGGATATCCCCAATCATGAGATATAGGCAGGTATTTAAACACGTATATGCAGCCAACAATCCAGAGAATGTATCGAGAATATATCAGAATCGAAACCTCTCACTTGATGAATGATTTATAATTTCTTGTCCCACGCCACGCACGACACGATTCCCATCACAACAGATTTCGTGAGATTAATATGCACCAAGAAAATTAAATGATGAACATTCCCATCCATCCATTTCAAAAGCACTCTACGCGTTTGATAAGTAGGTTGGCATCCGTGTCCAGCACGATACAATCGAAAAAAGACGAGAGGTTGGGGAACGCGCCACGGCTTCGGTCCATCCCATGCCAATGCCATCTTATCCCATGTATGTTATCCTCTCTGATCCCATGTCATCCTCTCTATCCCATGTCATCCTCTCTATCCCATGTCATCCCACTCCACCCTCGAAGATTTTGGTTCCTGGATTAAACCATTTTCTCGATTGGGCTTTTATCTTATTATCGTAAAATTATAGGGATGTGATGGGATTTTTCTGACATTTTGATAGGTTCTTCCATCTCACTCTCAAGGGAATTATATGGGGCCCTGATTGATTTATCACCTAATCCAGCCAGAAGAAAAGTTCCACCGGTTATTTTCGTATTTTCGTATTTATTATTTTTAATTATTCTTCTTTTCTTTTCCTTTCCCAGCCACATGTTTGTTACGCTGATGGAATTACTTATTTGTTCAAGGAGGGAAGCTTTGTCATTTTATTGCATCCATTTTGATATACTCACTCTCTCTCTCTCACGCATTCGAGACTGATTGAATTGAATTGAATTGAATTGTACCTAATTAAAGATCTTTCTTTTCATCGAGTTGTTCTTTATCAAATCATACATCTCTTGCTCCTTCCATCCATCCATCCATCATCCAAACGTATTGGGTTTTCCGTTTCTCTCTTATCTTTCCAAGTACACTACACCTCAACCTCCTGTTTCCCGCATCTGCATCTACCGCCCTTCTCCCATCTCTGCCTATCACTTTTTCTCTCCGATATCAAAATCAATCAATTGTGTTTCACAAACGCATACCATAACATCCCTAGGACAAGGAGATTAATTCTCTTGATTCGAAGGAATAAAAAGTGAAACTCATATCTTGTACATCCTTTTCTGTACTATTGGTTTACTTTTTGGGAAAATCATCCGATAGCAATGGCATCCCCTCCATCCCCACCATAGTAAGTTCTATCTATTCTATTCATTTCTTGATTCATTCATTCCAAGTTGTATTCATTCATTCATTCATTCATTCAATCTCTCAATTCCCAAATCATACACACACATACACATTCACATCATATCAAATCACATCAAACCACCGTATGCATTGGCACATATTCAAAATGCCACGCAACAAATACACGCCGACCAACTCCATCCCTCCTACCCAAACCCAAGCTTCCCCACGCGAACCCATCCTCCCCTCCAAACCACAAACTCTAACACATTCTTCTCCTTCCAGCGATACCACCGAGGATCCTTTGGCCAGTCAGAAAATGATGCATGGCAATTCCATTCCGGAACCGAGCGAATCCCCCAAATCCCAATTGCATGATGCGATTGAGAGGATTCAGTCGTTGCATAAGAGGAGAGCGCAGATTAAGACGATTTATGAAAATGAGAGACAGTATTTGGATCAGAGGAGTCAGAAGACGAAGAGTAGTTTTGAGGGTTTGATTGTTAGTACGGAGGAACAGATTCAGAGTATTAATGAGGTGAGCTTTTTATTTTTCTTGAACTTTGATGGAATATGAGCGTGGGGATAGCTAGATGTGGGATAGCTAGATGTGGGAATAGTTTGGGGTGGAAGTGAAGAGCTTCAGTCCAGATTTACAGCTTCTAACACCTAAAAAATAGTTCCCAGCTTTCGACAGTCATCCAGATTACACAGAGGTTAATGGAAAATTACATTCCGTCGCATTAGACACCAAAGCTCTCTTTCAAAATGTTAATGCTTTGAGTGAGTCTATCATCATGGCATTAGACGCTTGGTATCAGAAAGAAGTCGACAAATGCGCATATGAAATCAAGCTAGCAGAAAAAGATTACAAGGTATGTCACATTCACACTCTTCTCGGCACACCTTCTCCTGGCTCCCCAAATCCCAAATTCAATAACTAACCCCATCCAGCGCTCCTTCGATACCTGGCAAGACCTCATCAAATCGGGCGATCTCTTCGGCGCATCCGAACCCTTCAAATCATCCGCTCCCCCAAACCCCGGTCCTAGCTCCTCTCGTTCCTCACACCAATTGCAAGATGGTCCCGATCCCCATATGTACGCGTCTGCTCCGGTTTCCAACCCTAATATTCCCATTCCGCATAAATCCGACACGGTCACTTCGCAGCATAACAATACTAGACCGCAGAGTAGTAGAAATGCGAGTATAGATATGGGTGCGAATATGAGTGGTGCGATGATGGGTGGAAGTATGAATGGAAGAGGAAATGGAAATGGAAATGCGAATGGAAATGCGAATATGAATGGAGATATGAATTATCCGCCGAATTCGAGTGAGAAGCGATCTGGGGGGAAGAAGAAAACTTTTAGTTGGTTGAGTGGGGGGAGTGGGAATGGGAAATATATTGAGTGAGTGAGTGAGTGAGTAGTGGTGGTAATGAATGAGAAAGGGGATTGAATCATGAGGATGGATGGATGCGGATAAAATGGCTTGGATGGTTGGACGGAGGGGATATCTTTGTAAATGAATGGCGTGGCGTTTGGGAATACCGTTTATGCATGTGATGTTAAGGCATACATGGAATTGCGAGAAGATGGTACATATAGTGAGAGATGAAGGATGGATGGAGGCTTCATTTATGTTGTGTTTGTGTTTTTTGGTTTTTTGGTTTTTTGCAGGAATGGTAATGATGATGAAATGAAATGATTGCATATGATGGATGTAGAGATTATGTATTTAATTTATGAGGTTATGATTTTTATGATGTTTTTGTGTGTGTTTAAGTGAATGGACAGGGAGTTTGAGATTGTATGTATGGATGTATGAATTGGGTATAGGATGGGGAGGGGAAAGTATAGGAGGGAGTGGAAGGGAGTAAAGTGAAGTAGAGTGAAGTTCTTGTTGTATTGCATTGTGTTGCATTGTGCTCTTTTGTAGGTAATGGATGAGAGGGATAAGAGGTATAGGGAGGATGATGTAAGAGAGAGGTAGGAAGTGCGAAAGGGAGGGGTAGATGGGTAGAGAGAAAAATGGGATATGGAAGAAGATGGAGAGGAAGAAGGGAGGGGAAGGGGGATGTAAAGGTGGATATAAAGATGAAATTGAATGTGAAGAGCAGGAAAATATAAAGGAGGAGAAAGGGAGGAGAAAGGGAGGAGAAAGGGAGGAGAAAGGGAGGAGAAAGGGAGGAGAAAGGGAGGAGAGAAGGAAAAAGGTAGAGGTGAGAAGGGGAAGAGAGAGGAGGAGACAAGGAGAGTTTTATACTAATAGAATTTGGGAAATAAAGAATTGAAGAGGAAGTTGAAGTTGAAGATGGAAGATGGAATGAAGTGTTGGGGGGGCATGGGATAGGAGGGGGAGGGGGAGGAGGGGGGGGGGGAGGGGCGGGTTGTCGCAGGAGCTCGGTGGGTGGTTCTCAGGGCGTGTGTTTCAGGAGTAGCTACGATGGTGTGAGTGGGTACAAGTGTGGAAACGAAATCGACTTGGAATTGGCCTTGGCTTGGAATTGGCCTTGGAGGGTGTTTTTGTATTTGGGATTTGGATTTGGCTTTGGGGACTTGAGCTTGTCTATCCCTAGGGAAAGGGGGGGGGGGGGGGGGGGAGGGGGAGGAAGAACAGGGGGGGCAGGAGGGGGGGGGCGGGGGGAAGAGAGGAAGGAGGGGAAAGAGGAGGAAGGAGGAAAGAGAATAGGGAGAGGGGGGAAGGAAGGAAGAGGAGGAAAGAGGATGATATCGAATTTTGAGGATTTTGATTTTAATGAGTAGAAGTAGATGATATGGAGGTGATATTGGGGTTAGAGCTGGAGATTGTTTTTGAGGGAGGATAGAGAGGGATTGGGTTTGTGTGAGTGAGTGTGTATAGATGGCTGAGAATAAAGGCTTGGAATTTTAGAGTAGGGAGAGGGGAGATTGGAGGGGATAGAGGAAAGGGGAAAGGGGATAGAGATAGAGATGGAGATGTCACGAAGTGATATTGACTCTAATCTATTCTATTCTATTTTACTATATATATGAAAGTAAAGTAGAACTTCTAGTTTTATCTTTGAGTCTTTTGAGTTTTTAGTTTTAAGGATGAAGTTTCTAAATATTTTTTTTTAAGTAATTTTATGATAGGAGATTTGGAAATTTGGAAATGAGAATGAAAATGAGAATGGAAAGTAGAATTATTTAGTGAGATGGTGGGGGATTAAGAGTTTGGGGATAGAAAAATGAGAAGAGTTGAATGAATAAATTATTTAGAGTTGGATTAGTAGATTTTGATATTTAGATAGATAGTGGGATTTTGAGGGGGAGGGGGAGGTAGTTGTGTTTGGGTTTGAGATATTTGAGTGGAGAGTGGAGAGTGGAGGGAATGAAGAAGGGGGAGAGGATTGTCATGGTACGGGTAAAGACTTATATTGTACCATAAGAGTAGAAGAGCTATGGAAGAGTAAAGCCCTATTTATAGAAAGTAGAGTATACTAATATTCTGTATCTGAGGCATAAAGGCAATTACAGATTATATAATTGGCACTATAATAGTACCCCCTGCTCAAGGCGATTGATTCACGATCATAATATTAATTAACCTTTTAGAATACAAAATAATATTAAAATACTTTAATTTCTATTATTAGATTAAAATAAACTTTTTTAGGAGTAATAATTAATTGATAAAGCTTTTTAGATTTATCTCAATCTTAATTCAAGGGTATGTTTGATATAAGTATTAGTAAGGGATCAGGAGTAGTAAGTCTTTTGAAATCTATTTAAGCAGATGGTTTTGGCTTATTTGGATTTGCTAAATAAAAAGTGATGATTATATCTTTCTAATTGTAAAGGTTTTCAATAGATTACCAGAATGCTGGGTGATATTTCTATTTGATCTGATAATAAAATCCGTTTTTATTATAATAATCAAATAATTTATTGAATTTTTATTATTCGATTTCTTTATTCGTTTTATTATCTTTTTTTAGGATATATTCTTGGTTCTGGTGGGATTCAGTATTGTTGATTGTTTCTTAACCAGCTAATCCGAGTGAGTGATAGAGTGATCAAAATAATGAATTATAGAATATTGGAAAGATCTTGAAATTAATAGAAAGCTAGAGTAGATAGATTTGTTTGTAAACTTTAATGATCTTATAGAAACTATTTTATTTGTTATTGCCTTTTTTTATCAATCAATTAGTTTTATATTCTTAATATTAATTTATACTCTATTATTCTCTTTATATAAAAAAATATCAATACAAATCTTATTAGTGTAATCTTTATATTTCTGAATAAACTGAATGGTTAAGGCTTTCAATTTTGTTAGAATAATATCAAATCGATTTGTAATCTTATTAGCCTTTAAGAACTTGTGTTTGTATTGATATAACAAATTTGGGGGAATAGATAAAAAGGGCTCAATATTAAGGTATAAATGAAAATTATAGTTAGTAAAGAATAGGGATATACTAGTAGTCTCCAAGATTGTATTATTAAATACAAATTCTGTGAGCGAAAACAATTGTATTAATTATTTTAATAAAAGTTTATAAAAGCTCGAAGGTATTATTCTACTATAATATTTATTCTCTCTATTTGTTTATTAGATTTAGGATAGAATAAAAAAAACTGTTTCAAAGTGATTGATAGGTATTTGGATAGATATTTCCAAAATTCTAATACAAATTGCAAACCTCTATCAGATATAATATTATTGGGTGAATTGTATAAATAGTAAACTTTCTTAACAAACCAATCAGCAAACTTTTTTGTAAAGAATTCTATAACCAGAATGAAATAATATATTTTTGTTAGGCAATAAACGATTGTGATAATATATTGATATTTTTTATTATAGTATTTGCTAATTAATAGTAATATAATATAATCAATAGAGATATTGGACTAGAGGCGAAATAGTATAGGCAAAGGTTCTAGAAATCTGGGTGTAGTAAGGCGGGAGGCTTTAGTTCGGAAATAGAGTTGATAGGGTTGTATATAGATTTCGATTTCTCTCAATATATTGGGTTATTAGTATATGCAGGAGACAAGGTCAATAGTCTTAATTCGGCTAGGGTGCCCGACAGGTTTGGTAAAGTGTATTCGGTATATAATCTGAATGCGGAATTTAGTGAAAAGGGGAACAAAAAGGTGATTGCGATAGAAGATTTTATTATTGATTAATCTATAATCTTGAAGAGCGATTCGAAGGTCTTTTTAGATAGATAATGGTTAATAATGGGTGGCTGAGTTCTGAAGGGTTTTGTATATAATAATAATCAATTCAGATAATTTGTATACTATATCGATAAGATCGTTAATCGGCTTCTCGGTGTCGGAAATGATTATATTCATAGGGGCTATAATAAGATTAATATTATTATTAATTTATTAGATAAGATCTTTAAGTATAATATTATTAAACACTTTTTCTGGAAAAACTGTTTATAAGTGATTTTTAATCCGATTATTATTGGGATTAGTGTGAATAGGGCGGTCTTTTGTTTTTCGGCTTAATGTATCAGAGCAAATTGCTTTATAGCTAGGACGGTATATGATATAAAAGTTGAAACCAGATAGGAATTCAGTCTATCTAGCTTGTTTTTGATTCAATATCTTTATTGATATAAAGTATTCTAGATTTTTATAATTAGTAATAATTTCGAATAGCTTTTGGGTTTTATATAGTTTAGATTTCCATTTTTTTAAAAACTTAATAATAGTTAGTAATTCTTTATTATAAATTTTATAATTGTATTTAGCTATGTTATATTTTGAGGAGAAGTATGTAATCGGGTGTAGTTAGTTTTTATTATTATATTGAAAGAGCATTCCGCTTGTAGCCTAGTTTAAAGTATTTGTTTTAATGATTGTACAATAGTGGTAATTAAATATTATAAGAATTGGAGTGGAGGCAAAGGTATACTTCAGATTTTTAAAGATATTTTTTTAATTAATAATTCAATTCTATATATTCTCTTTTTTCAATAGGTGGTTTAAAGATTCTGTAATTTTAGAAAAGTTGTGAATAAAGTGTTGGTAGAAGTTGGTAAACCCTAGAAAGTATTAGAGATTTTTAGCTTAATTAACGACTTTTATTTGAGGATAATCTTAATCTTATTAGGGTTTATTTCGATATTATCAGGAGTAATGATTAAATCGAGATATTTTGTTTTTCTTGTTTCGAATTTATATTTATTAATATTAATTTGTAATCTAGTATCAATAAATCTTTAAATGATTTTGCAAACTTGCTTTCGATAATCTGTAATATTTTCAGAATAAATCAAGAAATCATTTAGATATATTATACAATTCTTATTCAGGAAATCAAAAAGAATATAATTAATATAGTTCTAAAACGAGGCAGAAGTATTGCAAAAGCTGAAAGGTATTATTAGGGATTCGAATAAGTTGAAATAAGTTATAAAAATGGTT